AAAAAAAAGGAACAAAGAAAGAAAACTCGTGCAGGACTACATAAATGCTGTGCTTCGCACCGCATTAATAAATATTTCGAAAGTTTCTTAAAAATAAAATGTCATTTACAACATCACCACTTAAATTTTGCCTTCTCTCTTCCAAAACTCGCCCGTTTGTACTAACAATACGTTCATGTCGAGATGATTTCGAAGATATTTTTTATTACCTTTACATGCACATTTACTAGACAAATAATCAAAAGTGATTGAACTCGTCAGCTGATGTAGAAACAGCACTAAACAATAGGCCATTGTTTTCCGTTCGTTGTTATTCTACCCATTTGATTTAGATTATGATATCACTCTTTATACTGTTTTTGATCAAAAAGATGTCAGAAATATATATTAAGTTCTACTCTATAAAATTTTTATTTGTATGAGCTACATCCTACTTATACCCTAAATATTTTTTTTTGTAACCTTACCCTACCCTGCCCTACGAGCTTTATACCCTAGCCCTGCCCTGCCCTACGAGTTTTGTACCCTAGCCCTATCCTGCCCTGCAGGGCATGGTAGGGTAGGGTAGGACAAGGTTGACCTGTAGGACTCTAACAAATAATAACCATTTAAAGACCTCAATGATTGACATAATATGTAATTAACTGGTTCTTCAAAGTATAAACATTCATCAACATTGTCTATAGACAAATTAACATACGAATGTTGATGTTTTTTTCTTCACTATTTTGAACAAGATCATGAACGCTTCATGTACTAACACTTAATATACATCAGTACTAGAATTCTTTATTTTCTTCTATGGTCTAATGGAACTAAATAGTAAGAGTACAACACTGATTTTAAATTTACACTTCGTTGATACTCTAGTGCCCACTTGTGCCAGACAGTCATGCAAATTTGATTGTACTATATGTTCATACAGAGAGAACAATCTAATTGTTCTCGAATACTCAATAGAACGGCAATGAGTAAATGAATAAACTGTACGGCTCAAATGATCATAATCGTTCATACTACTAGAAAAGAAAAGAAATAGTATTACTCTTTCTATCGATCTCGGTGATAATAATGATGGTAGCCTTGAAGTTAACTGAAATTTTCTTTTATACTTGACATGAAAGGGAATGTTTGTATTTTTCTTCTTGAAAAAAACGAAATAAAATGAATATCTTAGTAATGTAAGGTATCGTAAATAAATTTTACTAGAAATTCGTTGACGTTGCATTAGAATCTATTAGCAAAACTATATGAATTTAATCTTTCTTCTTGGCTGTTTTTTTTTATCTTTCAGAACCGACGGTAAACATATTTTTTGTTTTTAATGGCCAGTGCAATGGATAGTCTATTTATGGAAAGAAAACTATTTCATCACATTAATTCAACAGAATACAAACAAAAGATTTCTAATTTTTAGAAAAACAAAATCGCTAATATAATTAATAGCTAAATTAATTAACTAATCAGCAAATTAGCGAACTTCTTCATGCTGTTTTCTTATCTATTAACTTTTATTCAATGCTGTTAATCATCAAGCATATTTTCTATCGTTTACATGTAGATTTTCTATTTAATTATTATCATCCATTACATGCGTAAGACAAATGTTAGCTTTTAAACACACTAGACGACAAAATGAGAAGAAAAACGTAATAAAGTGACTTGCACATTGTTTAATAATGACCTTCTCTACTATTGGATAATAAATAATAGTTGAAAATGTTTATACGCATCATGGTATTCTTATCATCATCTCTTACGTTTTTTTTCCATTTGTCTTTGTTTCTCCGTCGTTTGACAAATGTAATAATAGCTTCTTTTTTTCCTCAATACTTTATTTGACATGCTTCATAGACAGAGTTATTCTTTCTTTCTCTCTCTCTCTCTCTCTCTCTTTCTTATTATTTCTCTTAGCATCGTGACTGTCAGTCTGCAAGCTCAATTTTTTCTGGCTCAACCGATCGTCTTCATTTTTTTTCTTCTCAAGTAAACCACAAAATTTGTAGCTTCCAAGAAAAAAACCGCATTCTTCGTATTTTTTTCTACTCTTCACACGTCTTCACTTTGTCGTTCTTTCGCTTTTTTCTTTCTTTTCTCTTACTACTCCTACTGCTGGTTCGCTTCTTCTTATCATCATCCATGAGTAACGCTCAGTAGTACTACACACATATTCATACGTGTTCGGAGTACACATGCATATGTCTGTCTGCCTCCCAATCTGTTCGTCTATCAGCATCTTCTAAATTCATCCAAGCACAAATACTCAAGGCAAATTATTTCCACTAGGTATGACCTTACATCTGTACATAAGTCATTTTTAAACAATTTATTTCATTTATTGAAGAAACCCTACTGATTTCGTATATACGTCATATGTTCACCGTATGTTTTTCTTCTTGAATCTTGTACATCATGTAGTGAAACCTTTTGAAAATACATAAGTTAAACACAATAGAAAAGACATTGGAATCGACTAAAATAAATTTCTTTTTTCCTTTGTACTATATTTATCCTACATCAAACATTGATTTAGAGAAATGATTATGAGGTTTTCTTTTCGAGAGTAGATGATGACCGTGATGCATGAAAACATATATACATTAGTGTATGTGTAAGTTTTTATCTATTTTAAAGCAAGATTATGTTAATAGGTGTACGTGCGTGTGTGAAGATGACGATAAACAATCTTATGATTGTACGAAGGACGTATATTTAATACGATATATTCATATTCTGATTTTAACCTACGATTTATCTTAGTTTCATTATTAAAATAAAAAACAAATAATATCATTGTAATTATCAAAAAAGATATTTATAAGACAGACAAGAGCTTTTCAATTAAACTCCTCAGTTTATCAACTATTACTAATTGTTAACAATGATACTATTTCTTTCTTTACCTTGAAATAAAATCTTCGAGCATCTATTTGATAACTATAGCTATTCTTTTTTTTTGCTTAATTCAATGAAAATCGATCGCAATAGTGAAAAAGTAAAAGTAAAATAGAAATGTTTGTGTTTATACATATTGTTTTATTTTAATAAATTTCACGATGTTTTCAAGTGTCTATTCATCATTTTCTCAAGGACAAACGATATCAATTATATTGAAATAATGTGACTTCTATTGTTATGTACATTGTCTAATATTAAGGTTGGATGTTACTATACATGTGAACATCATCGTACTTCTATTCCCACATTGACATATTCTCATATATATATATATATATGTATATATATATATATGTATAGAAGTCAACATTATTGACTCATTTTCTCACAATATTAGTATGTTGAGATTGAATATCGACAATAGGTCTATGCGTATGTATGTAGACACAGAGAGGCACACACGTATAATACTGTCAAATGAATCATGATAAGTTCAATAGACGCTAATGAACGCCTAGCTATTCATATGGAGTAACAGCAACTAGTTTTTAATGAAGTCTACCTTGAAATGCGCACGGCATAACGAGAAGGAAACGATAGATTGCGTGCAAGAAAATGAGAGAGAGCTTGCCACTGTACATAGACACTCACATATATCGACGTATACGATGAATATGATGAAGTAATATATCGAATAAACCCTTAAATTTTTATCGATTCAACATGAGTATACTAATCAACGAACTTTTTTTAATCATTAGATGTTATTTTAAAAAACAATTATGAAATGAACCAGAACAAAAATAACAACGAAAATGATCATGTAATAAGAATAATACAACACAAATATGCAAAACTGCTATCGATTCCATTAGTTCCATTTAAAGATGATGGTAACGCTAATAGTAATGGTTTTGTTAAGAAGCATTTATATAAATTTTGTATACGTATATATACATTTATACGCATGCATAGGTAGAAGGCTCTTGAGGGTCTGACGAAGAGACATTTCAATTCTTTTCTTTGTTACCACCTTACTACTCATTGCCGTTAGGCTAGTCATACATTTATACACTCTTTTCTTTCCTCTCATTTTTCTTTTATTTAATGTAGAAAAGACAACAAAGTGAAAAAAGTGTGATGTCTACTAATATAAATATCTAAAAAAATAAAAGTAAGATTGGAAAATGAATAGTAATATTTATTTTTCTCCGCGGTTATAGATTGAATGTTCCGTTTAATAAACTCTTATGTGGTCTATAGTTCTTAAGGCTATGTAACACATATGGTACTTGCGTAATAGTATGTGTCTCAGGAGAAGAAATCTCCTACATCCAAATGTAATTTTAGTATTTATTAATTTACTCTTATATACATACACAGATGTTGAATGCATGCAAATAAGTCTTCTAGTCTCGAAAAAGTATAATTGAGACAAAGAAAATGTTTTGCATATAGACATTTTCAATCGACAATTCGTCATTTTATTTTATATTAAATGAGTTCATTTTTGTTCAGACGATTGCATTTTGAAAAGTCTTGCTTTTCGATATTCACAGAGCGCAGATCAAGTATACGCTTAGAATTCATTAAACCAAACATAATAATAGTTATGGAAGAGTTGTAGGACGAAGCGGAAGGACGTACGTTCATTGTTTGCTTATTGCATTGATTATAAACTCGATATCTTTTAACCTTCGAATTAAATCTTACAATCGCTATTTCAATATTAAGCCTCATCTTTTCTCTTCTTCTTTTCTTTAGCTAAATGAATCGTACAATGAAATTATTTAATTCTTCTATGTTACCAACAAATTTACTTTATGATTCATCTGATTTTAATGATAATAGTATTGAGAATCATTCCTCTTCATCACGATTTCTTGCATTAAACGATTCATGGATACTTCCAATCTTCATTGTTTGCTTATTTGGTATATTATGTACAATAATAATATCATTTTTATTAATATGTTTATCACATCGTCGTTTGAATGGTCATTTTTTATTAACACATTTATTTATATGTTTTAGTGTATGTTTTCTCTATATAATAATTATCATTTTTTTAATACGTGCCAATGAAATCTTTTGTGGTTTAAGAGAATTTTTATCACAACTTGGATATGCTCTATTATATTCCTCATTATTATGTCGTTATATAATGCAATGGTTAGGTTCAAGAATACTATCCAAACGAACAAAACAGTTAACAGCTTTATTAATCTATTTATTACTTATTTTTATACAAATACCTATTGGAATTTTATGGTGGTATTTTACTGTTCCACGTGTTTGTCAACATCAAACACTGAACATATTATCATCAAAATTGAAAGGTCCAAAATTTCGAATTGATTTTCGGAAACCAATCACACTGCCATTGCCATCATCATCATCATCGGTACAACCATGTTCAAATCGTTGCACAGTTGATTATCGTTTTTATGCAACATTTACCTATACCATGTTGGAATTGATATTTTGTACAACCATTGCTACGTGTTTATTTTTTTATCGTCAATGCCATAGAACAAACACTGAAAGAGATAAAGAAAAAACTATATCAATCAATGGTAATAATTCAACATTAACATTTTTACATATGCTTGCATATTTTCTAATTGATCTTGTTTGGTTATTATGGTCATTTATTTATTATTTTATGGATGCATTTTTTGTATTTCCATCACTTATTATTGGTATGTTTTTAATAGCAACAATATGTTTACTATTTATTCTTCTTCCACAAATATATTACTATTCAAAATTACCAATGAATGATATAAATTCATATAAATCATCATTAATTATTCAGCCAACAGCCTTATATAGTAATAAGTTAGCAGCAGTTGATGATATCAACGATCATGAATTACTTCTTGAAGAAAATTCACCAAATCAAAAACTTAATCGTGAAAAACAAGAACAGATTTTATCAAGTGGAAGTGAATTATCCTATGAAATAGGTACAAGTGGAACATTTTTGCCAATAACACGAACACCAAAAGGACCATTCAAAGTAAAAATAACAGATCAGATAAGATCAATTGAAAAAATTGAAAATTTAACTTATCAAGAACATCCAAATACACAAACTACATCGAACAATCAATATATTTCACGAACAAATGATGAGAAAACTAATCAATCAATGTCTGATATGAGAAATCAGAAAGAACAACGATTACAGGCATCTCTTGCACCATTACAACGAAATGTAAGTTAGAGAAATATTTGTTTCTTTTGCAATGAAATTACTCTTCATGATAAGAGTTTTTTGTGTACTCAAAAATTGAGTACACTCTAGATTCGGTTAGTGTGCCCGGCCGTCCGTTAACTCGATAGCTTTTGAAAGCTTCATCCAATTGTCATGAAATTTTGTACACAGAATGATCTCATCAATATCTCAGTCGAGTTCGAAGATGAGAAGAATCCGTCAAGAAATGGCTGAGCTATCGAAAAATTTGTCATTATTGATCAGATCATTCCTGAGGGGGCTGCTGGGATTTTTTTCAAAAACAATTTTTCTCAGAATTATTTACAACATATATAAATCGACTCAGTTTTTAATGCTGATTTTGAATCTGATATTAGTTTTGAATCAAATCGTAGCTTTCTAACAAAAACTCGCCTGAAAAAGGTCTCAAAATGCACAAAAGCTGCATCCAGAAACTAAATTGCCTAGATATGTCTGAGATGACAGTAGTTTTTGGGTTTTCCAAATGCCTGGTTTTGCAGCTAGGCAAAAAGACTATCGAAAAGTAAAAACCAGAACTCGATAGCTATTAATATTGGTGATTTATTAGAAAAATACTGATGCCTGTAACTATCATATATCTGTTATAGATTGATGAAGTTGCTTACGATCGTAATCCTGCTAGATACAAACGAAAATCCATTCAAAAATAACTCTTCCTACCCAGTTAGTTTTCAAAGCTAAACATGAATCTGAACTCAATTTCTGTGATTTCTAACGATATTATACCACTCTGAGAGTAGAGTCAGTAGTCATCGGATAGGGTCGCATGCAGTGTGGTCCATGCTAACTTAGCACGCCTGTATTTTCTCCTTGCAATTTAGTGACAAGGGATGTATCTTGGTGAGATCTATGTCTTATAGAATAAATGCGAAAATCTCGGATTTAAATCCGATCGTTATGTGTACTTCAAAAAGTGAAAAGGTATATTCACTTTGTTTTTTATTTTTAGATAGTTTGATCAAAAACAATCTGTCATGAATTAGTTTTAATTTTTGAAGTACACATAACACTCGGATTTAAATCAGATGTTTCCACATTTATTATGTGTTTACATCAGAAATCTTCAATCAAGGAATTGTGTGATTTTTATGTATGTCTGCGAACTTTTTATGATCTTTTGTTTCCTCTTCTTTGCTCAAAAATTCTATAACGACTAAATTATGTTTCATTTCATTTTTTTAGCAAACATCAAGTAGTATTGCTTCAGATTTTATAGCACCTGTTGTAACTAGAAGTCTTCGCCACCGTACTGATTCACATGAAAGTCAAAATTTTGATATTCATTCACCATCATCAATGTATTATACTGGATATCCTCCTCCGCGTCGCGATGAAAGTATCATACCAATTTTATGTAATACTGAACGTCCACGAACATCAACACCTCTTCAAATTCGTTTACTTACTAAATCGTCATCATCATCTGCACCATTAGCACGTCGAATCCATGCTGGTTCTGACCTTCGACATGTTCAACGGCCATATCAACGTTTTTATCCTCCACCACCTCCTCCGCCCACAACGCCTCCATACTATTCACCACAACCACAACAATATCTTTTTGTAGATCCTTATCGAACAATGCGTTCAGGTACAAGTAGTAGTTTATGGCAATCACTTTTATTACAACCTGACTCAGCATATCATCGTTATCCATATTCATCTCGGCGACACTTTATGGGTCATCGTTCATTATCTCAACGTTTGTGGGATATTGATAGTGGTGACGATGAAAACGAAGTCGAAGAAGATATTGTGAAAGTTGCTGGTCGTGTAACACCAAATCAACAGCGACCCTATGATTTTCGTTTCAATTCTTATGAAAATGAAAATAATCTTCTATTACATATTGATGATAATGATGATGAACGAGAAAATTGACGTATGAAAATCAACTTACTGATGTAACTATAAACAATAAAATTTGGTTTTGTATTCTTTTGTTTTGTAGCCTATTTTTTAAATTAAGCATCAGTATAAATATAGTTCAATGTTTATGATATTGTTATACAGCTTTTTTTCTATTGATTCTGTGTTTTTTTTTCTTGAACAGTGCAATAGTCTGTTTTGTTTTGTTTTGTATTTCAATTAGTTGATTATTGTCAATAACTGTGTGATCGGCTAATTTAATAGATTAACAATGAGTTGGCCGAAAAAGAAAACAACGATACGTTTATGTGTTGATATTGATCGATGTATGATAAATCATAATCAAAGGTCTTTTTGATGAATATATTCTTAGTAATATCACTTGTGAAAAATATCTAGATGATAACATTTTGATCTCTTAAAATCAGTCGAAGATAATAAAAGAATCCAAATAAAATGTGATGTGAAATTATATGATAGAATCATTTCTCCATCATCTATACACAAGTCTACTTATTCTCTCGAATCATTTTATTATTAAAACTGCCTCAAGAACATTTGTATTGTCGACATATAGGATACAATCATCGCTGGGATAGGGTACAAGTGTGACATCTGTATTAAAAATACTATTTGTTCGATGATGTAAATTTCCCAACTTTTCGAAAATTTTATCTCCTATATTTCAAAAATATGGCTGTATCATGGACAACGATGCTTCGAAAACATCATGGTATTTTAATTAACTCTGAAATTTGTAAATCTATTTTCAAAGCAATTCATCAATCATCTCAACAAATCATTTGCGTGTAAAGATGAACGATAAGATCATATTTTATTTTTATCTATTTCTTTTCTAGGAAAAGTCTTCCAATTTTAAGTTCGTCATCACTTAATGAAGTTTATATTCTTCGTACTGTACTTTCCAATCATAATAATCATAATATTCATCCAAATATTTTATCACTTTTATCAATTAAATATTTACCATCGTTATCAATCAAAAACTCGACTTATTTTATTTTCGATTATGCAGATAATCGTGACCTAGCGTCACATGGTCTATTATATGGTGGTACAGAAAAACAATTAACTAATGAACAAATACGAACATATTTATATCAACTACTATCAGCTATTATTTATTGTCATGATCGACTTGTTTATCATTGTGCTCTTGAATTAAAACATTTATTGATAACACGTACAGGACAACTTAAATTATCGAACTTTGAATATGCTAAACATGCAGTATGGCGAGCCATGACAATTGATATACGAGATGTAAGTATATTTCGATAGAGTATAATTAGATTTATGAATGAAAAACAATTTTCCCGCCAGCTTTCATGTTTTTCTCAATGTCCACCAGAATTACTTCTCGGTGATCGAACATTGCGTGACTCATTAGATATGTGGTCAGTCGGTTGTGTTTTTGCTCAATTATGTTCATCAACTCAAATTGAGTCTTTATTTCGTGGTGATCATCAAATTGAACTACTTTTTTGCATATTCTCTATGATGGGTTTGTATACCATAGTAAGTTTGTATCTAGTTTAATGTTGACTATTTTAAAGGTACACCAACGGATGATATTTGGCCATTATTTCGTAAACAGCCTTATTTCAATGTTGATTTTCCACGATGGCCTAGACGAAATGATCAGCTATATGATTTGACAAAAGTTATAGGAGCAGAAGGTTTAGATTTTTTGAAATGTTTACTTATTTATGATCCAAAGCAACGACTAACAGCAAGAACAGCTTTACAACATCAATATTTTAATCGATAGAACTGTTATTGTTTCGTTTTTATTAGAATTTATGATAACTCTAAATGTAACTAGCATAGTTTTTTCCCCAATGAATCAACATTTGTTAGATGTGGTTGCAAAGAAAATTTTCCATCTCCATCCAGATATAATTATGACAATATCATGAAACATGGTCAATTATTATTATTACGGTTATCAGACACATTGACAATGATGAATAGAGTGCGAAAAGCAAATATTAGAAACTTTTACAGAACGAGCTTGTCATATCAATGGATAGTTTTTCAAAACATTGGATTTTCCTATAACAAGAATCATAAATGATAGAAAACAAGGTTTTACCTATTTAGAATGTAAATATCATCACTAAAATTTATAATATAACATATAGATGATAGCAACTGAACAAATATCTTGTAGTGATGTCTCATGTTTGTCAAAATAGAAATGATGAAAGCCAGATAAATACACTTTCGAGTTCTTTGAGGTGGCTCCGTTAAGAATCAATAGGACTTTCAGGCTTAATATTTCTAAAAAGGTTGATTTTCGATAAAAAACTTTGACATCCACTATAAGAAAATCAAATTTTTTAATCGTTGGTTTTTTGTGTGAAAAAACATTTTTTTACACAAGAAAAAGGTTTTAAGGACAACAGAATGTGAATTAGTGTACAGTATGTGCTATCTAAATCAATTAATTATTGTTAAGCTTTCTTGTGATGTTCGGCAACATCTATGATCGCACTTCCATAAGCATTTTGAAGCAAAATGAATATCATATTCGTGATCAGCGATGTCGATAACCTTCGAATCATCTAAGTTTGGGCAGAAATTGAAGAAAGAAAATTTTTTCGTTACCCGGGAGACTACGGCAAAAAATGTTTTTTTCGAAAAATGTTTTTTGACCTGTGCGAAAAACGAACTAGTCTGTTTTGGTCAGAATCAAGTGCTGATTCTCATACATCATTGCATATTTTATTATCATTCAAAAAAAAAGATTCTAGCAGATTGTTCTCAAGTTTTCTCAAAATGTGGGTTTGATGAAGCATCTCCAAGACTTTTCTATTAAAACAAAGAATAAAGCTTAATGTTTTGTTTTTGTTTGAAAGCTGTCACTTAAAGCTAGTGACTCTCACGGTCGTTTTTTTGAAAAACATTACCGATGAATAAAAGCGTACTCTTCTTTTAATAAAATTGGAGTCTTTTTTGTATACTTGAAAATTTTTCAAATTCATGCAAGTCTCAAGAGAAAAGAAGGAAAAAATTAAAAAAAATGGCCACGAGAGTCGCTAGCCCCAAGTACCTTCTGTACAATAAAAAAAGAATAAACTTTGTGCATTGTTTTGACAGAATTTCATTGGAGATTCGAAAAGACCCAAAATTGGATATATGTGCGTATTAAAATCATCATAACTATCTCAAACTAAAGAGATAGAAGGCTCAAATTGTTTTTGTGTACATCGCTGACTAGTACTATCATGTGCAGAAAATTTCAACGTCATAGCATGTTGTATTGCCAAGTTCGAATTTTGAAGGTGNGAACTCCCAAAAAGAAAGAAACTTCTCGAATCCTTCGTGAGATATCAGTGATTTTTGGAAGTTTAATATCTCGAGAAGGAAACATTTTTTTTGAGCTGAAATTTTCAGGACATCCTACTTATAAATAGATCTGGCTATGGGCGAAATCTCATCCTTCAAGTTTTTGGTATTTACGGTGGTAGAGACTAAAATTCCAGTAGAGTACCTTTCACTCGGAATAGAAGATCTATGAGTATTTGTCCTTTTGTGCTTGTTAATATCTCAATAGGGTCTACCCTATTCATGAAGGTCATTTTCAAAAACGATTTATGAGTTGGATATGTTTCCTCGTCAGATAGAGGTATTTTTGTCTCGCCAAATTATTTATACTTTTATCTAAATAGTTTTATTCTATTTATGATACTGTGTGTATGTTTAGAAGAACTGAAAAACTTTTAACACAATTCTTTTGTGTGATTGTTTTTCCTTAATATGCAGGATTACTCAGACTTCTAACAATGTCTTTTTAATGGAAATCAGTGTCGTGTAAGTTTGTTAAATTCCTATATTCACATGGAATAACTCTAGGAAGTCAGTTAGTACATATTTTCTACACTTCAACAAAATGAATTTGTAGAAATCGGTACTACGAAAGTAAAGTAATTAGGCAAATAAAACTGTGCACTGCAGATGACATAACTAACAGTGTCCTTGACATTAAATATTTATCAAGGTTAAAAAATAGCTTTGACAGACATCTAATGAAAGTGAACAATCACCTTATAACACGCTCTGTTTACTGCCGTACCATTAATGTTCTTTTTACGCATGATGATTTCTATTAATTTACAAATATTGTTCAGTCATTGTCACGCTAATCATTAGGTAATTGTTCAACACATCAGCATCGAGTACTATAAAGAAAAAATGAAATTATTTACAGATTTGAAATTGAGACTTCTAATAGAATAACTAATCGAAGGCTATTGTACTGAGTCATTTCTATAATAGTCAAATTCTAATACATATATCGACTGTATTTACGAAAATACGGTTAAACAATATCGAAATCCATTTATTTATGTAGAATAACATCACTGTACACTGTTGAAACGATTAATTCAAGAACTAGTTACAATAAATACGAGATACTTTCGTGAACTTGATTAGAATGCGTAGAAAAATGACCGAGAATAATTGCCGAAATAAATTGCAGTACGTTGACAATTATTTTAGTTTTAGTTTTGCGCTGATAATAATAATAATAATAATAATAATAATAGACTTACATATTCCTGCCTATCAACCTATTTTTTGATATTATTCATCCATTTTTTTATTTTATTAAATTTTATTCATCGAAATCAAATATTAACCTATAATATTGATTTCCCTTAATAATTACGCCTTCTCCACCAATTGATTAGTAATAAGAAATATATTAAATGTAGTGCCATATTATACGGCGTAGTTCGATTACATAATGGCGTATCACAACAATAAATACATTCAACTTTTTCTTCATTAACATCAGTATAAACACAATTAGATGGTGGCGTATCTATCATTGATTGAGTTTTATCTTTCCATGAACATAAACCTTTCGGTGCACAATCCCGACGTAAATATGTTTCAATTGAACGAAAACTTATGACTAATTTTCGACATTCATATTCGCCAGTATAATCATCGGCATTATTACATTTACTTATATACGATGCAGCTATAGGTGCTGTTGTATTGAAAGATCTGCATGAATCGTCATGGTCAGCTACAATAATAAGATGTTTACTGTTTTCGAAGAAACTCATATGAATTAAGAGTAAACATACTGTATCCAATCAAAGGTTCGACACATGCATAGCATGAGTGATTGATAGTTTTTTGATTAATAGTTTGGTTATTGCTAGCCGTTACCACAAATTGCAATGTAAGTAAAAGTATAAACAATTTTTTATAGGTTGAAAACATTGAAGAAATATCATAAGTAAATGTTGCTCGTTGTAACATAATTTATTACATCAACAGTTGAACGTGGAGTTATTGTTGTTATTTTGTCGACAAGTGTTTCTCTTTTTCCTTATTGTGTGCCTTATTTCTATTTTACACTACAATGCCAGCACTATTACCTTTTTCTTTTGCTATAATTTCTTCCTTCTATTTCACACGCACATAGAAACAGTCACCATTGTTGTAACTCTGCACACTAACATAGGATTTTTCATCAACGACAGTACACCTGACTGATTGTAGTGGTTGATGAACTAACTCTACCTGTGTGTGTCAATCATAAGTTTTATGCTTGCATGCAATGTAAAGATGACTAATATAAAAATTTTAATGAAATAAATAAAAGAAAAACTGAGAAAAAGACTGGGAAATTTCTCTCTATGTTAAAATAAATAATATTTTTATGGATATTTTGGAGTTCTATCAGGTTTTTTACTAATGAAATTAACTATCTACATAAGGTAATCAGTTTAGATTTCATGAATTGGATATAATGAGCTGAGAATTAGACTTAGTATCTAAACTGATTGAATGGTTTATTATTATTCAGTTTTGATCCATTGCTATTTACGTTAATTTCTTTCAGGAGCTGTTTTTCATCTATGATCAATATACAGAAAAATATTAATCGACACCATCTTCTCCCAATGGATAATTATTCATTTTGAGAGAAACCGAAAATATTTCTCATTTTCTCTGTTTGTACTGTTTCCATGGTGCATCTGTGAATTCTCAAAGGAACTTCACTGTAGTTAATTGCTTTTACTTATTTATTTTTGTTATGTGAAAGAGTATGTCAAGGTATAGGGTGTGATAAAGTCTATGCTTTTTCCAATTCAACATCGTTACTATTGTCATTACACAAAATACTATTATAATCAAATAGATACTCTTTGAAATGTTGAACATTTCAGTAGCGGACGAAATATAAATCAGTCAGTTTAATGCTTATTTCAAGCTGGAAAATGCTATTCACTTCTTTCCTGCTCTTTCAGTTTATATAGTATCATTACTGATATTCATACATGGAAAATAGAAAGAACCAGTGAGAATCATACTATTCAAAAACTGCTTGGGATTAAGATCATGTTTACAGTTCATAAGAATTAATTCTTTCTTTATAAACTATTCTACAGACAAAAATCTGAACTTGCAATTCTGTGTTAAATCCGATTGCAATAACTATCAATTCGAACAATCGAACAAAACAACATACTTCACTAAATCTGCGTTTCATACATATTTTTCAACCAAATTTACAGTGGTTCTTATTTTTTTCATCGCAATGTTATTCATCTACGTTAACATTTTTAATATTCATATATTACAGATAGAAAACAAGACATTTATCGTACGTACCATTGAATAAATCCATTTTGCACGATCATTTTTTTTCTATAGAAGTTCACATAATTCTGAATGTTGATTAAAACAGAAACATTCGCCTAATGTAGCTATAAATAGATAGCATTCTCATTCACATCCCGACACTACTGATCTTGATTTATTCAATCTATTTTGCCATCGATTGATCTCGATGCTTTTTCTGATGAAAGATTTCACCTTTCGTGCTTCTGATTAAACATAAATGAATGAATATTACTAAATATTCATCTTGTTTTGAACTCTTAACTTGAGAGTCTCAAGGAGTTTTATTTCGAAACTGCTTTTCTATGGTGGATAGTAAATTTTCACTTTAAAAAACATTTTTCAACTTCAAATGATCATCTTTGTTAGCGATCAGATAATTGTTGCTATCCTGTACGAAAAAAAAGAATTCTTCAATCTATGAATTTCTTGTGTTGATTGGCGACATCTATCTGTCTACCATGTCGATTAATTGATTTTTGTCCAATAATCGACAAGACCAATATGTAGTTGTAGTTTACTCATTCACCATTGTTTCACAATTTAGAAGTCGTGCTACAAGCTATTGACTAATTGTTCAAATAACAAGCCAAATAATGCCTCCTGTGGAATTAACTACAAATGCTGGTGAAAATGCCGGTAATCAACCAACAACTATTGTACCTGTACCAGCAGCTTTTGTTCCACCATCTGTCAAAGCTAAAATTGGTATTATTTATCCACCACCTGAAGTTCGAAGTTAGTTCATTTTTCTTTGATACCTAAACGATTCACATTTGTTTTATTTTAAATTAAAAACATAGATATTGTTGATAAAACAGCTAGTTTTGTTGCAAGAAATGGACCAAGTTTTGAGAGTAAAGTCAAAGAAGCTGAATCGAATAATGCAAAATTTAATTTTTTAAATCCGCATGATCCTTATCATGCCTATTATTTACATAAAGTTAAAGAATTTATGGAAGGTAAGGCAGCTATGCCTGGTACTGCTGAACAACAACAACAACAGCAAACACTTGCACTAACACCATCGATGCAGACTAATGCTAACAAAGTAAAGCTGCGTCATAATTTAGAAGAAAAATATTTAAATTGAACTATCATTTGTAGGTTCAAACAAAAGCTCAAAGCGACATATCGAAATTTCTTGAGCCAATCATAATTAAAGATCCACCAAGTGAATATGAATTTATGATTGAACCACCATCAATATCAGCTTATGAACTGTATGTTTTTGTTTTTTAATCTATTTTATTATTGTTATCATTATTATGTTTTTTCTTTTAGTGATATTGTTAAGTTAACAGCACAATTTGTTGCTCGTAATGGTCGTCAATTTCTAACATCATTAATGTCGAAAGAAGCTCGAAATCCTCAATTTGATTTTCTCAAACCAGCACATGGTCTATTTAATTATTTTACAAAACTTGTCGAACAGTATACAAAAATTTTAATACCATCCAAAGAACTTTTAACAAAGTTATCTGTTGATATTGATAATCAACAAAAAATAATGGATGAAGTTAATTATCGTGTTGAATGGGTTAAACATCAACTACGTGAACGAGCAAAAGAAGAAGAAGCTGTCGAAAAAGAACGAGGTTTGAAAAGAAAATTCATTTGCTTTTTTTTTACTTAATAAAAATCTGTGTTATTTTCAATAGCTGCTTATTCACAAATTGATTGGCATGAATTTGTTGTGGTCGAAACTGTTGATTATCAACCACAAGAACAGGGTAACTTTCCGGTAAGAAATTCTAAGTTAGATTTGAAAAAAATAACTGTATCAGTTCTTATTTGCTTTGTTCTGTTTTTTGATTTACAAAGCCAACAACTAGCACGTTGTTGAGTTATATTTTTTGAGTCGTAATTTCAAAGATAACAAAAACTAAGCTATTGAATTGTATTAACTTGAATAATAAAAGCAGATGAATATATATTAATTCAATTAAAAGAACTATTCTTTGTTTTTAGCCTCCAACAACACCCGAAATGGTTGGCGCACGAATGCTTCTACAAGAACGTTTAGATCGAAATGTAAGCTTTTTGTGTATGAACATATCTAGATGTATGTTGAAATTTATGATTTTGCATTTAGAACTTTCAGCATATCACATCAACAACAATGGTTAGCATGTCGGATCTTTCGGCAGAAATGGACATGGGATCACCTCCTCATTCACCACCATCAGCCATGATGTCAACTGTTAATATGCAAGAAATGGACATGGAACAAGATGATGACGATATGAATGTACCACCACCTCCACAAGCACCTCAGCCGCCATTCATTCATCGTGGTGCTCCTCCTCCACCAGTAATGATATCGCGTATTCCAGCTAATCAACCTCCATTACCACCTGGTTTACCAACAAATACTCTGCCACCAGCTATACCAACAGATAAATTACCAACACCATTAAAACCACAAGATGTTATTATTAAATCATATAATCCTAAAGGTAGTTTCATTTTTCTATAATTATAAAGTCTTGTCTTATGCATTGTATTTTTGTTTTGTAGAAAAAATGTTAACAATACATCAAGGTGAACAATACTTAATATCGCCAATTACAAAAGAGAAAATTCTTGCGAATAGTATTTCATCGCATACAAAATATGGTGAGTGAATAAATTTATTTAGAATTGTGAAGAATGTTTCTTTTCTTGATATTTCTAGCTTTACTTGATCCAGCATGGATTCAACGACGAGAAAAAGAAGTTGCTGAACAACAAGAAAAAGAACAAGTTTACGAACCAGGTATCTTACATTATTAATTTTCTATTTGACAATTAAACATATACGTATAGGTTCACATGTTGAACTTGAGTTGAAAAAATTTGCCGAACGTCGTACAGATATTTTTGGTATGGGTTCACAAGAAACAATCATTGGTCGAAAAGTAAATAGAACCTCTGTTTTTCTTTCAAGAATTAGAAATTCATTCTTTATTTTAGATTGGTGAAGAGGAACGACGTCCTGATGATAAAGTTCAATGGGATGGTCATACAGCAACAGGTAAAATCTTTTATTTTCATATCAAATATTGTTTTGAATTTTTTATTTTCTTTTCCTTTCTAGCTGAAAAAACATCGAAGAAAGCATTGGCCAATATAACAATAGAAGAGCAAATCAATGCTATTCATCGTAGTCAAGGTCTTATTGATGATGATTCTTCAGCAGCTAATCGTATCGGTCCGTCAATACCAAAACCAACTACAACATCAACATATTCATCAACAGCTAAAACAATTCAAAAACCACCCCAACTTTCAACATTAGTAACAAAACCTATGGCTCCTATGAATGCACCACCTCAACGAACGCTTCTTGCTACGCAAATTATGCCGCGCCCTGGTATGCAACCAGTTACTATTCTTCCTCAACCAACACACACAATGGTTGCTATGTCGTCAATGGTTGCTGTAGCGCCACAGCCACCATTACATCCACCACCATTAGCAGAGGAACCCTCTGCGAAAAGATCGAAAACTGAAGATCAACTTATGCCAGAAGAAGAATTTTTTAAAACATTCGGACGAGTGAGAATCGATAATTTCTATTGGATTTATATAAAGAAAACATTTCTTCTGCTTAGGGTCAAGTTACGATTACAGTTCAATTACCAATTGTACCAGAAAAACCAGAATGGAACCTTAATGGACAAGCTATACCATTAACTATGCCACTAACTGATCCAGTAAATTATTTGTGGCATTGATAATTTCCATCTGATTTTTCTTTTTTTTTCTTTTTAGATTTCGGTTATTAAAGCTAAACTATCCGATTTACTTGGTGGTATGCCTGCAGGAAAACAAAAGCTTGTTTACAATGACATGTTTGTTAAAGATTCAAATTCGCTTGGATTCTATAATATGATGAACGGTTCAGTTGTTTACTTACAATTGAAAGAACGTGGTGGACGAAAAAAATAATCTTGTTTATTCAGATTTGTTTGTGTCTTTGTCAATGTTCATTGTCAAGCGTTTAATATAAATAAACTTTATTGATCTTGTCCTAGATGTGTGAAAATTAAAAAAATTTAGCTCGAAAAATACATGTTGGTTCTATCGTAGCGTTGAATGAAATGATTTTTAGAGAGATAATATTGATAGCAATCATTCACTGTTTTTCAATCAGATATTTCACAGCGAGTTAACCGTAGAAAGATACGCCGTGAAAGAATTTTGAATTGCATCGCTTTAGGCAAATTAACAAAAAAAGTATAATTTAAAAAATGTGAAGGATCATAGTTCTTGAATATTTTGAATCTTACTGAAAAAATCGACTGGTTATATTGTGATTGATTTTTCAAATTTTCATCACGAGAAAAGAATCAAATCACATAAAAACAAAAAGATACAATTTTGAGCATTGGACGAGAGATTACTAGAAAATTACAATCTACTAATTTGATTAATGTTATAGCCTTCATCATAACAAAAGTTTTTCTTGGAAATTATAAAAAATTGACTCAGGATAAGTACAGCAGCATATTGATTTCTCCATCTTGTTGGTAGCAAGATAACATGAATCGAATAGTGCGTAGAGGATATGAGTTTGACACTTAATGTTGGAAAAGATACAACTTAAACGCCTAATCACATCTATATCCTGTTTGATCACTGAATGATTGATTACCATCTATCATAAAGCATTAGTCTCCACATTGTTTCTCGGATTGAAAAAGTTCAAAATAATTTTTCGCTTTATTTGAACCCTGATATGAGAAACAGACTTTGGTGGTTTTGAAATTATGATTCTACCTACATAAATAAATATTCTACTATCTTTGTAACCAGAAAGCAAATATAGATATTTGAAAAAATATTCTCAGAGCATAGTCAAAAAGAATGCAACAAAAATCCTTCGGATCTAATTGAAAATTTTACTCAACATAAATATTTATCAAAACCTTAGAAGGATAATCTTCTTTTTTATCTTCTCTATCATGGAAAACATGACTAAAGGAAATTGAACTAGATCAACATCGATTTAATCAATTTTAAATCAGCTTATATCAAAGACATTTTTCAATGGCATAAATTGAAATCGATCTTTTGTAGTCTGAAGCATCTATTGAAAAATCTTGAGTATTTCATAATAATATATTCTTTTTTTTTATTATATTCTTAAAATATTAAATGAACCGTGTCAAACAGAAGCAGTTATCAAATAAAGAAAAAGAAAAAATTTCTACTGTTCTAAAAATGAAATTAAGTACCAAAAGAAAACAAATAATTTTGTTCTCTGTGTGAGTCGTATATCAATATTGAATGAATGGAAGTAAAAGTAACAAATTGCACCTAATTTTCAACGATAACAATAACAATATGGACTAAAGTCGGTGGAATGTTTTGTATTTGTACAAAAAAGAAAAGATCCGTGAGAACTTGATTAGCGAATAAAAAAAAATAGCTCATCATATTTTATAATCAGTAGAAAAGAAAAAAAAATAGATCACTATGAAAATAATATTTGACTACAAATGTGTTGTCGACTGTAGTGATGATGCCGTTGAACCAAGTGACATACATAAATATTCATAGAATTTTTCATTTTCACTATTATCAACAAATAAATCAGTATAATCTGTTCGTTCAGGATCAATTTGACCGCATGGAAAACGAAGAACATCAGTAGAATTCGAACGAATAGGAGTATTCTAAATAAGATATAGAAAACATCTAATTAATACATCTTTCTTCGCATTTGATTCTTTTACAGTATATTTTTCAATGAGTTGACTAAGCTGTTCAAATAATTCATTTTTAGCACCACCTAAAAATCGATAGGTATGTTCTTGTTGAGTAACTTCAATAAGTAGATGACGACAATGATCCGATGCAAGATAAGATAACACATATCCAAACATTTTTTCACTGACACGAACTAAATAAGTACCAACGGGTTTCGAAGAAAGAAGTTGTTCAGTATAAGCACGTGTAATAATTCCTAATAAATAACAAAAACATAAAAAAGAAGAATGTAATAAAACGTTGAGGCAGACAAAATACCATGAAACCATGGATAGATTTGTCCATTGGACGAACGGAATGTACCATAGGGTATCTCATTAGTATAGAACCATTGATGAATATCAGCTCGTGTTATTGATGATAATGATTTGCTGAAATGGAAAAGAACAATTTTTTTATAATTGTCGCTTAAATAATAAAAAAAATTGAGTATTCAAATCTTCTGAAAGTGAACGTTTATGCAAATCTTTATTCAAATTTCATTGTCGAACAAAACGAACTTACAGCATTCGATGTTTTATTTTGGTGGCTCACTTAAATTAAAGAAAAAATTTCCTTCTTCTCTGCTAACTATTGTCGGATGTCAACTCGTGCCTCTAATAAAAAAATTCACTATACCTATAGTTGATTGGTACGAATGTAAACAGTAATGGAATATTGCTATTGTACGAATACTTTTAATACCAGTAAAAATTCAGGTAGTATTCAAAGGGATTGATAATTCTGCATGTGTAGTTTAAAAAGAGTCACGTCATCATATTGTTTTCTTACTGAGTTTTAATTAGGAATCAACATCTAGCAAATATTAATTCTTTGCAAAATAGATTTCTTCTTGATTGCTAGTCATAGTGTAATAAGTAGAATTTATTTTATTCTATCTCTCGCATAAGAAAGAAATTTATTCAAAAGCGAAATCTGACAAATGCAGTGCCGATATTGAATTTCATAAGGCGATAAGTTTTTACTTTTAATATTTGTCACACATTATAATTGAGTTAAAATCTCAATTGCCTTTTGTCAACATGAATAGATGATTCCATCTGTTTCGTACGTATAATACTATATAGGTTCTTGTATATATTCAACTCATTGGTGGAATAAAAATTCAGAGATTGACCTTGATCATTTTCGTAACTCAAAAGCCTTTGCTACACTCGACATCACTTATAATACAATATCATGTTGGATTTATATCAATTTAATAAGAAAATATTTCTTTTTCTTACGATTGCTGATGTCCAACAGTAATGGATGTTGGTTTGGATTCGTCTTCAATATTCAATTTATTCGAATTATCCAAAGTGAATATGGGAAAAGCAGGAGTTTTGTTTTCTTCAACTTCAATTTCAATTTCTAATTTTTTCTCCTTCGGTATTGTTCGATTCGATGAATTTAACGGTATTGGTTGTAGAGTAAACTCTGTATGTTTGTCAGTATCTAAGCAGACATTCAATTCGACTGATTGACGATGAAAGAGGTCTCGTGCACGTCGAGCTGCTTCACGCCGTTCTTGATCGGCTTGCTTTGCACGTTTTTCAATTTCATGATAGAATATTTCATCGACAAAATCTGATTGTGAGATTGGTATTGAAGTTGTCTGAGGACGTTTTTGTTTTTGAAAAATTTCATTTTCTTTACTCTATTTCAAATATAATAAGAATGATTATGATTTATATTAGAAATAAAATCATGAAGTATACTAAAGCAAGTCGTCGAGTTTCCGTTTCAAGTCGTTCGAAGATACGACGTGCTTCTTGAATGTTATTTGAGATTTCTTCAATTTGTTTACGTCTAGAATATGAAAATGTATTTGATTTGAGTTTATTTATTAAATAAAGCGGAATTTATTTTTTTTGCATAATTTTAAGGCGTTCCCAAACAAAACATCCACCTATGAAGCTAATATCTTACTGTGAAAAAAACCAAAGGTATTCGCAATATCCTACACTTACATAAAATATTACGCCGATTTCTTTTGCATATCGCCTAAAAGTATGTTCAGTTTGTTATAGAAGATAGAATAGTAGAAATGCACATCTTTGCGTTTTTCATTTTATATTTTTGTCAACTTTTTTATTATTGCTTTAAAAGAATTAAACAAAACTCAATTTATATGACTTACTCATCACGATGTACCGTGTAAAAAACACCATTTGTCGCTGGAAACGTATGAGTATTACTTGTATTGATGCTATAGAAAGCATATTAGAAAAATACGATAGATGATTATATTCAATTTACCTTAATTGTTTATCTCCACTTTGATAATCGATTTCCATGTTTTCATTGTTAGTTCTATAGAAGAAAATGAGAATTTACACGATTGTAATTCAAAAAACCAAAATCAATTTTCTCTTTTGATTTACGTGTTTAAACAAAGACAATTATTTACCTATTATGAAATTCATCATCATTGTTTTCTAAAGTTTCACCCATCACCAAACACCATTCATGTCCATTATTATCGAGTCGAAATGTTACCTGTTTTTTCTTTTTACTTATATGTCCTAATCAAAATCAAATTTAATAAAATAATTCTTATGCTGAAATTTTTTTGTACCAGTTAATCTAAAATTTTCTTCTGCTTCTCGTTCATGATATCTTCGTACTTGTTCTTCACGCATTTTACAAAATAGTATTTGTTTTTGATCTTCTGGTAATTCATCTAGTATTTCCTTTGGAACATGGAGATCATGTAAAATTTGAGCTAGCATCTAATGATCTAAAATAAAAGAGAATAAAAAGAAAACGTGTTTTTTGGCACGAATATCAAGGATTTTGCGCCTATACATAAATCAACATGCATTAGAAATGATCACATGGAGAACGAAATAGAAATCCGATTGGTTATTCGATCAGCCAGTACATGGGGTCGAGAAAAAACTTTTTTGTCTAACAATAAACATTATTGGTTTAGTTTTAAAAAGAACGGAAGAGCTAGGAAATCAGTTGTTAATGGTGAACTAGATTCATTTGATTACAAACTATGATAATTTTACATTTTAAGTGAAGATAAAAGAGTAAACTATTTCATTTTCTTTCTCGATTTAATAAGAATTGACTTCTATTAGCAATGTTTTTAGTAGTATAACGTATGAAAACTTGTTCGATTAGAGTACCAAAAAAGATTCTTTTTAAATGTGGATTGATTCATACGAAGATGATAACCATTTTAAGGAACAATTTTAATATTTGTTTTATCACTAAAAACAAAAATTAATATCTGTTAGTTTGAAAATATCTTTTAGTTCGGAAAAATATTAGAGAAGAAAAACAACAGAAAAATGTGTTGCTTTAAAATTCTATTATTCGGACTCAACTATTTGAATAGAGTGTTTGATATATCAGGAAAAAAATGATTTTTCAAATTCTTAATGCTTGCCTTTTTTAGATAAATATTGTTTCTATAAATAAATAATGAGTGACGAAGCAATGCCAGCAGTAGTACCTGATATTTCACATAGTCAAAAAAATTCAATATCTAATGATACTGGTGACTCATCGGAATCAATTGGCCAACCTCCACTAAAAAAAAGTGCATCAAATGTGCCCATAAAACTCAATATTCGTTATAAAACACAAATATTTTCAGTTCAATGTGATTTGTATGATACATTAAAGGATCTCAAAGAAAAACTTGATAAATTAACAGATATTGATCCAAAAGTACAAAAGTTAGTGAATAAATCAATTACCAGTGTTAAACGAGATGATGCAACCACTACATTGAAAGATTTGAATTTATCAGATGGACAAACCTTATTATTAATTGGTGCAACTCGTTCTGAAGTGTCATCAGCTTCTGATTTAAAGAGTGGTGCAGCTGGCAATAAAGGTTCCATGGAAGATTATGCATCAGCAGTACATAAAAAAGAACCTTTATGTAAACAAACAAAGCATGAAAAAGTAATCAAAATGGGTGAGTAAAGAAAGAAAAAGATAAATTTTTTTATTGTATATTTTAAGGAGAAAATGAAATTGTTAAACTATTAAATTAATGAATTGTACATATGGCATCTAAAGAGAAGATTCTTGTGTGTGAGAAATTACTTTTGATTCAAGTCTATTTGAATTATCTAATTTCAAATGAGTATTCTGAATAGAAATCGCATCTCTATTCTATTACTATGAAGACACAGCAGTTTTTAGGTATTAATGTTATAGTTCTCCACGATTGTATTAGCTATTCTCATCAGAGACTATACCTATGAAAAGTTTCCAGTCAAAATTAGAATATAAGTATTTTGGAGAAAGAATATGGCATTCTTTTAAAAAAATAGAGCTCTTAACTTGTCTTCACAAAATCATAGTTCATTTGATTCTGCGTACTACATATAATCTCAATCCATGAGTAATTTATCAGTACGAGAAATTCTCTTGTGACACTATTACTGTTTACTTTTTTGCATGACTATGAAATAAACCTCAATAAATGATTTATAGCTAGTATTCAGATCATTTATTCAATTGCGTAATTGTAAAGAAGTAGTTGTAATTGGTTTAATTCAACCTTCAGTACTAAATTATAGGTCAACTATTAGAGATAGAATATAATCATAGTTTTAGTTTTTTACGTTTCATAGAACCTAAGATAGAACAAAAATGTGTGAAAACTTTATACTGCAAGTAGTTCTGTTAAATAAAACCAGCAACTAGCCGTTTCAAATTACCATTAAATTGAGTTTAGTTTTTTAGGTCCACTTTTCAATATTTATCAAATTTACAAAAACGTGTTCACTATGAAACTACAATATTTTCTCTTGGTAGCTCAGTTTGTTTCTCTTATTTTATATACAATAACATCAACTAGTGCTATCTATTATCTTTAATCTTTTTCCGTTTTCAATTTATTTTTAATTTATATTTTCTTCGAACGATGCTTCCTAAAGTCATCTGGGTGCTTTTTCATTCAATTTAGGTAAGCCAGAAAATGCTCAAATAGGTATAATGAATAGAAACGATCCGTTACCACCGTCAATTGATGGTTTATTAATGTCAATGTTAAGTCAAACAGCTAAAAAAGCACGATTAACATTTAAACTTGAACTAGATGAATTATGGATTAATACTGGTAAAATAAAATAAATTTCATGAACATCTCTCTTTTTTTTGTATTTTCAGCTGAAACAACCAAAAAAATAGGCATGACACATATTCGTAATATCATTGATGAACCTATTGAAAGTCATGAAGGTTACTCAATAGTTGGTTTTCAAACCGGTACAACGTAAGTATTCTCTAATGAAAATATTTGAATTTACATATTTGGTTTTCTAAAGCGAAAACTCCATCATCTGGATCTATTGGTGTCCGTCACAATATGTTCGATCAATACGTCGCGAGATTATCTCGGACTATTAAAACAAAAAAGACACATAAATTTCTTTTTTTTTTTTAGTATATTGTTGATTTTCTTTTTTGTTCTTTTTTTTAATTTAATTTTATTAAATGTTGACTAAATTTTTTTAAACACGATGATGATTAAATCTATCTATCGGTCTATATATAAATTATATTTCAAATAAAATACAAATAAAAGTTCTTGTTTTAGAAAAATTAATAAATAATGGCCGACAAATACAAAAGGATAGAATCACATATGATATTAACTGATACACAAGTAAACTCTATAGCTGGTGCTACATCAGGGTTATTGGTTAGCATTCTTGTCAGTCCACTTGATGTTATTAAAACACGTTTTCAAGTAAAGCGTTTACCAAAAGGTGTATCTGGCACACCATTGCTATCTGTGATATATACATTAGGTCAACGAGAAGGTTTCCGAGCATTTTATAAAGGTTTAGGAACAACAATGTTGGTAAGATAATTAGATTTTATTGGATTAATATAATGTTCAGCTAATTTTTAGGGTTATGCACCTAATTGGGCAGTATATTTTACTGTTTATCAATGGTCTAAAAAACAATTTGCTTCACATTTATCATCTCTATCATTTGAACATGAAATGCTAATAAATTTATTTGCATCTGTTACTGCTGGTGCAACATCCAATATGGTTATTGCACCAATGTGGACAATTCGTACACGCATGATGACACAATCAAATCATGAAGATTATCGAAATTCATTTCACGCAGCTCAAAAAATTTATAAAACCGAAGGATTGTATGCATTATATCGGGGTGTTATACCATCTATGATTGGTTTGGTAAGTAAGCATAATTTATTAATACGAGTATTTCCACAAACTATCAGATAAGAATAGAGGAGACAGAAAATCATCTTTATTTTCCGAATCCTATTCGATTCTAAATTCTACGAAGTATAACTATAATTGATATCCTTTGGTCAATTAAGAGGATTTCTGTTTCTTTTTCTTTTTCTTGAATCTTAAACAAAAAACACATTAGCTGGTTCTTTTGTATTTAGGTTCATGTTGGTATTCAATTTCCTCTATACGAATATTTGAAGAAAAAATTTGCTATTTATTCATCTTCTGATGAACATGTGTCAATAACACAACTAATGCTTGCATCAAGCATCTCAAAATTGATTGCTTCGTGTGTGGCATATCCACATGAAACTATTCGTAGTCGTCTGCAAGACGCTGGATATGCTCGACGTGTACAATCACAATATTCAGCCAGTACAAAACCATTTCGTGAATACAAAAATGTACGCGATGCGGTGCAAATAATTGCTAGAGAAGAGGGCGTACGAGGATTTTATCGTGGTATTGTGCCTACTCTAATAAGAACAGTACCAGCAGCTGTATTAACTTTGTTATCTTATGAAAAAATGAGAGAATTTCTTACTGATCATTTTGTTGAAAAATCTCTAGAATATTAGAACCCTTTTTTTATCGTGAATAAATTTATATTATTTTTCAATGTTTGCTCAATGTGTGTTTTCTCATCGTTGTGATATAAACTTCAAGAGTAATTTTCTTTAAAATAAAAAAATAAATAATAGAACAGTGATTATACGAGTTCCGAAATAGTTTTTTTTTTTGATAACAAGATGCATAATGTTGACGTATAATGATATCGAAACGATTATCGAAATACTTCATCAATAGTAATTTTATATGCATTTAAACTAAGCATTCTTGTTTGGAATGTATAAATATATCGAATAAAGTTGCACAATATTGACTTTTAACAACTTGCTTTCAAGACTCATAACATTTTCAATAACACTAAAAATTATGTTGAGTTACTTTTTTGTCCTTGATTCAATAATAACTGATGTAGTGTTCTATTGCATAGATTCGAATATTTTTATTTGGTACGTCATTTTCTTCGAAACTTTCGTTATTTTCTGCTTGAAAAATAGTTTGTTTTTGTAATCTAATAGGAAACGTTTATTTTATTCATTCTCATTTTCTACTTTCTTCATCGAGTCTTTCACAAACCTACAGGTGATTTCAATGAAACTAATTATACTGTTTTATTTAACATGGCATCTCAAAATACAGACTATAGCAGAGTCCTCGTGTGCTTTCAAGAGGTTTTTAAGATATCTAACGTTTTATTCATGCTTTCTTATTCAAGAATCAGACTTAAAAGAAAACACTCTATCATGTCCAATATTGGAATAATACTCTCGTAAACAAAACAAAAAACAATTATATCGAATGGAACATCTATGTCGGTTAGCACACAACACGCTATTTTTCTTTCGATTGTTAGTTGAATATCATGTAAAAACATTACCATAGGTAGTGAAAATTTTGATCGCCGATTTTCACTATTATAGCCCTAATATTAACACAGCTTTTTGTTTTAAATACTCTTTTGTTAAAACAATCAAGGTTAACACATATTGAATGAAAAATTTAGGAAAATAATTTAATTCTTTTGAAACATCATATCTTACATTGTAGAATTACAGTTTGACGAAGATTAGATGCACGAGTCGAATATTTGTCAATCAAAATAGGAATCTATTTTTGACAAGTTAAACTAGAATGGAAATTTGTCATCAGAAGGGCGGCTAAAGGAAAGATATGAAGAATATAAATATTTTCAAATTCAATATTAACAATTAGTATTTCAAACATGAAAGCTTCGTACATTAGCATAAGATCAATTCTTACATATTCTACTCGACAAATCATTTGATTTTCATGATTTACCTATATATCAATGAAAACAAATCGTCTACTCATGATAATCATAGAAATAATATGAGTCAAAGTAGAATTGGTTAATACATAGATTATATTTATTGATCTGATACGATGTTAGTATTGATAGATTTCGTTATTCTTTTTCTAGATTTGTAATAATTTGTATTTTGACTTAATTAAAGTAGAAAGATCGAGAGCAACCGTAATAGTTTATCAAGAGAGGCTCATCTTTGTTAGTGAGAATTGTTGTCAACAATTTAAGCTCTTACTTACTGTTGAATTATTAAAATGTGAAATGACCACACAAAATGAAACACATTAATTAACAAACGAAAAAAATAAGCATTCAACTAATTTACATTAATATTTTAGTAGCGTAGCTACCAAGAAGAAAAAAAATCGATCAAACAAAGACAAAAGATAAGAAAAGATCGAATTAAAATAAGAGTTGTTTTTCACAGCAGTATATTATCAAGTTTATATGATTTATTCATTCATTCATTCTTCTATTTTTTCTTCATTCTATTCAAATACATTAGTTGACTATGGATTGTACAGCATAATATTCGCTATTCAGCTGCATCATTTATTTTTGCTGTCGAAAAGAATAATGCAATCTATACTTGAAGAAACTGGTTTATTAGTAAAAAAAAGATGAATAATTTGAATGTTGAAATACAGCATAAAAGCAAAAAGAGTAACTCTAACAGGGTTTTATGTAATAATGTTAATGTGAATTAAATAAAACTTTGAAATTAAAAATACAAAATTGTTTTAAGATTTTCTTTTCACGAAATCATCGTTGTGGAAGAATAGCGATGGCAGATATACTATAACTTTATGTTGATTTGTTGCACTTTCCAGAGTATACTCCTGCGTAGTTCACAGTTTTAGATATGTTTTGACCGATGGTATATTGACCATTGTGTGGACAATATGTTCATCCAGTGCAAGAAGAAGATAATCGGCATAGTGAGTCGCATTCCATTGGAGACTTTGTATTTAGTTTTTCAGCAATTTATCACCCTTTTCAATTTTCGCCGTTGTAAAGATTTGCTGTATTGCTGTGACTAATTGTAGCAATACCAATGAGAATGAAAGCAACGATTTAAGGGGCTCACAATGACAAAAGTTAAACAATAAAGTTAATAACAAGGTTTGTATGTACATAAAATATCATACCTTATCAGATATATTTGACTGGTACAACGTAAATGACAATGAAATACAATCACATCCTTGCGTTGATTTATATTCAGAAGATTTGATCCTTCAGCGCTTATTTGCTTCGATGTTATAGGAAGAGATGTGGGCCATGAATTAGTACGTTCTCTCATACAATCACCTCCATTCTGTGATTAGTTTACTAAATTGAGTCGAAAAAAATGTATATTTTTCTGTAGCATAAATTTACTAACGTGAGCGAGATGTGATGATAGTGCACTCAGCTCGTACTTTTAAATGAAAAAGAGAACCTTACTGTAGAGGCTGACTAAATATTATCCATGTCTATGAATTTCTTATCTATTTTTTTCTCTCGACTTTGTTTCAATCGATATGAACGAGACATGTCCTTCAAAAACAAAAACACACATTCAATGATAGGAGACAGAATGCTAAATGTTTCTGATCATGAAAAAAACTCTGTATAATCATTGATTGGATATACATAATTTTCTGTCATTTTTGGCTTGTTTATAATCGTTTCACTCCTCTCCACTAGTTTTATTTGAAACCAAAAACTAAATCTGCAGTCAGAATAAAAATATCGAGAGAATGAAAACAAAAAAGACGCGACTCGTTTAGAGCAATATAAAAAAATAAAGCCTATCTATATATCAGTTATGCATGGATAGATGACTAAAAAAGCATACCATAGTGCGCCAAATTTTGTTCTACTTTAAATAAGAACAAGAAACAAAATCTTTACATAACAGTGAATAGATAATGTATACAGTAAAAAATAAATATGAATATCATATAAAACAGTTCATGTATAGTAATAAAACAGATCAAGTGTTTTTTTCGCCTTTTAGTGCATTGTTTTTTAGTAGGCATTTTCGAATGAATTTTAACCGAAGAAAGCTATTTTATTTCACTAGAGTTAAGCGAAAATGTGAAAGTTGCATTTCAACCCTTTCGTCTGTTCTCCATGAATTCCCATTTAATTCATACATATGTTTTTTATTTGCGTACATTTTCTATGAGCCATGATTACGTTGTATTTGACTAATTTTTAAAAATAGTTTGCTTGCTGATAATCTGTCATAGAGAAGAAAGCGAATATAACATTACACAAAAAATAAATGTTAACAAAAGTAATTTACTGAATTTAAGTATTTTTCTTTTTGAACATTCGCTTTACTATATGTTTGCAATGAGTTTTGAAACATATTGGCTTCAACATTTTTCTTGATTGGTTAAATTAGCCTACCCTGCTTGAATCTTTATTAGCTACAGGCTCGTGGGAAGAAAGTGATTTAATTCACCTGTAAATCATCGCTAATTCAGTGAAAAATCAATTGAGTTTTAGTGAGTTCGAATAACTCTGTGAGCTATTCTGAAATTTTCAAAATATTCTATTGATTTGCGACGACTTCTCATTTCTTTTTCGAACTCATCCGAACTCACTTAAACTCCCGAATTACCTTCTCTCGCTTGTACATACATTTATTTGTGCAGAAAAATCAAAATCTGCTCAAAATTTTATTTTTGCACCAGAACTGCGTAAGAATTATCATATCCTAAATCGTTGCTTGTTGAAATTTCTCATAAAAGACTCCATTTTATATTATTATCTATCATTAATATTTCACTATTAGTAATTATTTCTTAGAAGCCACTGGCAAAAAAGTTAAGGCAAAAATTGATTAGATTAACAAGATGTTTAATTTTTGGGTCGATTAGCTCGTTCATATCAAAGATATTTTGATGAAAAAGTGTCAGAGAGGACTCATTCTGTTCTTTCAAATCAATAGTACTTTCATGGAAAACAATCTACAGTTGAATCAGCAATTGACTACGCTTAAATAATAACTATTATATCTATCAGTATTAAAATGCACTTCAATGCCCAAAGTCTCGTTCGTCTCCTAATATCATTAAGACATCACTATTTTTCTTTGCAAGCTCTCTTTTCTTTCTTAAATAGAGATCTCAATAGTAATTCTCTTAACAAAAACGATCTATATTGTATAAATTAAAAAGAAAACTTCATATACAAATTCATTGTCACACATCACTTCATGTTTCATTTTCTTTTATCATTTGAGACTTTACTATATTCAACAATGTCTCGAATTATTTTGAGATGCAAAATCAATTATATGTCAATAATTCTACTTTACAATGGACGTTTTATTATTAATACAGAAAACGAACTAATATAATATAGAATAACAAAAATAACCGACTACATATAAATACACATATATAACATCTACTAGATCATCTATACAAAAGGAAATTCTCATAGCTGCTACAGTGGTGTTTGTCCATTATGATTAGTATCCGAATGAGTTAATATTCTAGTTGGATCTAATGTTGATTCGACGCCAATTGAAACTTTTGATTCATGATTTCTTTTTTCTTCATTCTGATCATTTTCATTGTTTTCTTCGTCTATACTTAAATCTGGTTCAATGACAGGTGGCATAACAGGATTATATGATTTTATAGATAATACTTGACTATCTATTTGAATTGGTGTTCGTGCAATGGCATCTTAATGAAAGAAAAAGAAAAAAAACGAAATAAAAATAGAAATAAATTCTATTAGCTGTTTAATTCATATTTCAAATTTTCTTTTACCACTAGGAGATCGAGGATCAAATAATAGTTGAACATGGTTCTTTGGTGGTGTATTACAGATATTTTCATGATACTTCGCATGTGAACTATTTCCACCCATGCCAAGAATGTTTTTTTTATCGCAAGGAAACAATGATTTTCGTGCTAGGCTAGAACCTAATATATATATGTTTATGTCACTACAATCAGTGAGAATAGTTTTTGTTAATAGAAATAAAAATAGACCTCTCCTATTATTAGCTAGCTGCCTCTACCAATGAATGACTAAACGGTAATAGAGAGAGAGAGAGAGAATGCATCCGTTGTTATTTATTGTTTATTTTTTTTTCTTTTGTTTTATATATGATTTTTTATCTGTATGATTAATTATCATATCATATTCTACATTTAATCATATGTTAAATTAATTTCACACGCTCTATTAATACACATTATTGTTTCAGATATGACATCCAGGTTACGCTGCTTTTTTGATATTAAAATTGATGGCAATGATGGTATCGTATATGAAAAAGAATTTTTATCGTAGGGTTCTTTTCTTTTATCTTTTGTTGTCTTTTAGCTGGCCGTATCGTATTTGAACTCTACAATGATGAGTGTCCGCGTACCTGCGAAAACTTTCGATGTTTGTGTACAGGTAATATTTCAATTTTGTTTTTCGATTTGAAAATTTATCTCTTGTTGGTTTGGAATTTTTTTAAGGAGAAAAAGGCCGTGGTTTAACATTATATAAAAAATTATATTACAAAGGATGTTGTTTTCATCGAGTGGTGAAAAATTTTATGATTCAATCGGGAGATTTTACTGAAGGTAATAGTTTGATTTTGATTTTTTTCCATCAACTCTGCGGATCGTCAACTGACATTTGTAACACAAGGGATAAGATAGAAAAAATAGAATAGTAGTTGAATTCTATTTTATCTATTTTAGTCACCGCGCATCAAAGCGGGTGTTGAATAGTATATATTGATATTCGATTTTTTCTGTCTATGTGGTCTTTAAATTCCAGGCAACGGCACTGGTGGAGAATCAATTTATGGTGGTACATTTAATGGTAAAGAATTTATTGTTATTTGAAAAAAGCAACCACTAAAAAAGCTATTTTTTCTAGATGAAAATTTTCAATTCAAGCATGATCGTCCGTATCTTCTGTCGATGGCTAATCGAGGTCCACACACAAATGGGTCGCAATTTTTCATGTATGATAATAAATGTTTTATTATTTTCAGCGATATTATTTCTTATATGTTTTAGTACCACGTCTGAAGCTTCACATCTTGATGGGTAAGTTTGCTTTGATTCATCTAATATTTAACAGAAAAAAAGAAACGGCTATTATCGGACTGTAAGAACAAAGATATTAGTAATAAAACATAAAGTAAAGATAAAACCCAAGTTTTAGTAGGAATCAATGACTCGGTCATGAAGCTCTCTTTCACAGTGATGCGTTCTAATAGAGACCGGCTAAAAGTATGTACCAGTGTTTTATGCAGGATTTCTGGATATGTTAGATCTCAACTTCGGAGCATGGGACCTAAATGGATCTTATGAAGAGGGGGGGGGGCGGAGTCATATTGGAGCTCATTGGTGAGGTTTTATGAAAAATTTTT